CTTAAATTTTCCTGCAATGTTGATTGTCCTGCTTATAATTTATTTAACAGATACTAATGTGACATTTTGTTCTGGCAGAGGCTGAGCGCAAAAATCAACTATGAAGCTTTGGATAAATTAAATGAAGAGCTTGTAAGCATCTTTTATATGTCTTATTTTAGAATCAATTTTGCTTAATTCATGCTTTGCAAATCCCATATTATGTTCTGTCAACATCCAAGGTCTTGTTCACTGATGCACAGACTACAAGCGACTAAAAGCCAATCAAATCTAATGGCACGTTTAATTTCGATTGTCAAATGATGTTACTTGTTCAATATATTTTTTGTTTTCTTAATGTCTGGTTAGTGCGCAGACACCAAATTCCTGTTTAATGGAATAAAGGTATATTCAAGCCACATAAACCACTCCATGATAGAACTTAATACATAAAAGAATAATCTTTGGAGGATGGTATATTATTATTAAGCATGGATTAAGACATGAAACTGTGATATCTGAAAATCAATCTGGTGGTTTACATGAATGATCAGTTAACTAATTGGGCAGTTAATGGGGTAGTTATATGGTTCAAAGTTTTTTGTTGTTGTCATTTTATAATGATTTTGCAATGTAGTTCCTAGTTAAAAATCCTGGTAGGTTTTAGAAAATGGAGGTATCTCTCTGCGAGTAATTGCCTGAACTTTAATAGATACTGAATTTGATTCATCTGATCTTTTTCTTCATGTGTAAAATCAGGGTTATGCACCTGCATTTGAGGAAGGCATAATTTGATACAATTATGATGATGAATGCAATTATGATGAGGAGTGCTATTTTGAAGAATTGACTTAAATAATCAACTTTTTTTTTCTTGATTTAGATTATTTTTTCATGAACCAGTTGTATCATGTTACGATCTAAAGGTTAAGCAATTGAATCTTCTGGCTTTTAACAACTTTTTCGAATTGGAATCAGTCTGAGGAGAGATGCTATTGAGCATTGTTTGCATGTGAAACTCTTTGAACTATAAACATGAGCAAAATTTGTAAATTGGAACACTGAATTGTTGGTTTAAAGTTGTTCACAGTTTATTGAGTATAGGGAGAAGCACAGTTTGACAACAATGTTTCCCCTGTTTTCTTCTTCCTAAATTCAACACTGACAACACCAAAAGGCTTCTCAATATTCTATACAAGTCTGAGGAAAATTTCAATTGATCATTGATTTGTATCTCAAACTGTGAATTTATATATTTCAGTTAAAAGAAATTCTATTCAATGTTGAAAAATCGATTCTATAATGACGTTAGTAAGGCTTAGTTTCCACATCATCAAACTGCTCGGCAATTCATCATCCTTGACAATTTGACATTTTGTCGTCCAAAATATCCAATAAGGCCTTGTTTCTTTATAGTCGATTCAAAGACATTCGAACATTTTAAAAGTATAGCCGAACGGCTATACTCATTAAATATACTCCAGAAGAACACGAAGCTTGCACTCGCAGTCAAGCCACTTCACCTCTCTTTTTTTTCTTAAAAAACCACACTGGGCTACAGCCCACTGTAGCCCTTAGTGTGGTTCCGCCCCTGGTGTATAGGGAGAAGCACCAATTTGACAACAACATTTCACCTGTTTTCTTCTTCCTAAATTCAGCACTGACAACACCAAAAGGCTTCTCAATATTCTATACAAGTATGAGGAAAATTTCAATTGATCATTGATTTGCATCTCAAACTGTGAATTTATATAATTCAGTTAAAAGAAATTTTATTCAGTGTTGAAAAATCGATTCTATGATGACGTTAGCAAGGCTTAGTTTCCACATCATCAAACTGCTTAGCAATTCATCATCCCTGACAATTTGACATTTTGTCGTCCAAAATATCCAATAAGGCCTTGTTTCTTTATAGTCGATTCAAAGACATTCGAACATTTTAAAAGTATAGCCGAACGGCTATACTCATTAAATATACTCCAGAAGAACACGAAGCTTGCACTCGCAGTCAAGCCATTTCACTTCTCTATCAACTCAAGCTTCGATTTGTTGTCTTTGGTTTCGGCTGCTTCGTCCTCCAGATTCGGCAACGAAAAAAGACCCAACCCGCCTAGGCGCCCGCCCAGCTACCGCCTAGCCGCCTAGCTACCGCCTAGCCGCCTAGCGACCGCCTAGCATCCTCTCGCCCGCCTAGCGCCCGCCTAGCAACCGCCTAACCGCCTAGCGCCTTCCTAGTGACAGCCTAGCCGCCTCGAGCCTGCCTAGCGACTGCCTAGCCACCTAGCCGCCCGCCTAGGCAGATTTTTCGAACACTGCGATTGACTGAAAGTCTGAAACAACAATGGCCTCTTTCAGCATCCTTTGGCTTCTTTTGCAGTCTATGCTTTCTCAGCTGCTTCTGGTTTCATGTGTCCATGGCTCAAAATGCTACTACCGATCCATCTGAAGGTACTAACCATCTTTCAGGTATAGCATAAATACGTTATGTGATGTGTACGCAGTGATTGAATTGAGAATGCAGTGACGGCGTTGATCTAATTAATATTCAAGCAATGGGACATGCAAACCCTGCCTATCAGTGAATGAGAGCAATGCATTGGATTTGCCATCAATGGAAGCGAGTTTGAAAAGCCAGAGAATAATCCAGCCTCTCTCTCTCTCTCTCTCTCTCTCTCTCTCTCTCTCTCTCCATATTTTTTTGTCTTGTGTTGTTGACTGTATAAAAAAATTTAATTATAAAGTTTAGAAAACTAAGCAGAACATGCCTGATATATCAATTTTAATATTAAGTGCCTAACTGCTCAATCGTCTTTCTTTCCAGTTGAGTTCATGCTCTGAACAAACGAGGGGTGTTTCCAAAAGAATTTGAGGCTTTAAGATATCTGGCCGTTTTGTATGAAGTTTTTCCAACCCCCTTCTCTGTTGTTTGGTTTATCGCACTTAACATTTTCATATAAAAGACACAGGTTTCTTACCGTTCAAAATTGTCACGAATATTTTTTATACTCAGAGATTAATCGCTGGTCATTGCATTTTGTTTCAATTCTTGTAGGAAACTTGATCTGAACTATTTCACCGGTCCCCTACCGGCATTCATCGGCAGTATGCCTGCGTTGACAGTATTGTAAGTAGTGAAGCATAGACTCCCAAGTGAGTTATACCTCTTCAACATGACTTGTTGCAGATCCTTTGGATCAAATAATTTTCCGGAACACTCCCTCCAGAACTTGGTAACTTAATCAATCTCGGGCTATTGTGAGTGCTACATTTAACTCATCGAATTTGAATCACATGTTGCAATGTGTAATTATTTTCTCTTAAAGGAGCGGTTTATTTGTTAATTCATTATCGATGAGCAAGGAATGCATTTATCGTATGAAATTGGTAGCAATCAGTTTATTATTTTCAGAGTTACATGGACAGCTGTGGACTCGGTGGACAAATTCCTTCAACATTTGCTAAGCTCATCAACATGAAAATCCTGTAAGTTTTTTGTTTATTCAGTACTTTGAGATTTCTATTCTGGGATGAGCTTACTATGAGTCAACTTTTTGAATTTTAGCTATGCATCAGACAATCCTTTCTCAGGAAAGATACCTTCTTTCATTGGGAATTGGAGAAAACTGACTTCTTTGTAAGTATGGCAAACTTTGAACCTTCTGCAGCTTATGAAAGTAGATCTGTATGGCTGAGATGGGTCTTTTATTCACAAGCATCTCAAATGTTTTTGTAGGAGATTTCAAGGGAACTCTTTTGAAGGCCCAATACCAACCAGTTTTTCTCAACTGACTTCATTGGAATCTCTGTAAGGGCAAATGCTTAATACATTTTAAACTCTCTCTCTCTCTCTCTCTCTCTCTCTCTTCCCCCCCTCCATTTACTGGGCATCATTTCTGTTTGTGTATGATAATGAAGGCGAATCAGTGATATATATTATGTGAGCTCGTCTCTTGATTTCATAAGAAATTTGAAGAACTTAACTGATTTGTAAGTTAACACCTCATTCATTCACGCACTGTGATCAAACTTCGTTTTCCTTTTCAAATTGAAAATCTTACTCCATTTACTTGTCCACTAATTTTTTTGGTGGTGTAACAGAGTTCTATGGAATACATTAATCAATGGTAGCATCCCTACTAATTTTGGAGAATATCAACGTATACAGATACTGTACGTTCCAGCAGATATATAAGCTTGAATCCCAAAGATACAAATTAATTTTCTTATCATTCTAATTGTTCCTCTAACTTATCACTCATGCAGCAGGGATCTGGGTTTCAACAATTTAACAGGCGAACTCCCAAGTTCTTTGTTCAACACGAGTTCTCTTACATATTTGTAATAAGGCCTGCCTTCATTATTCCCCTTTTCTGTACTTATGCCATTGAATTTCCTGCTCAGAAACTTAGTCGTTCATCTGACCTTTTTCTTGTTTCTTTGGTTTTTTGTTTTTTTTTTCCTGGGTGCCTCCTATAATTGATATGGCCAGATTTCTTGGAAACAATAGTCTGTCTGGACCTCTTCCAAGCCAAAAGAGCAATCAACTTCAGACTAATGTCATAAAACTATGCTATATGTACTGGCAATGAAACCAATACTCTCTGTGTGTGCACGAGCATCCTGGCAGCCTTTTTCTTACTTAAATTCCTTTGAACTTTCATGCATTTTTGTGCCTTCTCATTCTGTATTGTTATGTGCAGAGATTTGTCTTGCAACTATTTCTCAGGAAGCTTTCCCCCATGGGTAACCACAATATTGCAACTGTATGTCTCCTTTCTATCTTTCACCTTCATTTTTATGGTCCAAATCACCTTCATTGTGCATATATAATACCACATGAATGAAATTCAATAAATTAGAAGGGATGGATTTGAAGTACTGATATGTTGAGATCTTGAACACGAAATTCTCATCTTCATATGTGGATTGATTAATGATTTTATGCAAGAATTTAGTGGTCAACAACTTCACATTTGACAGTTCAAACATAACGTGAGTTGAATCGAAATACCCTCTTTTTGGACCGATAGTTCAAACATAAAGTGATTGCTATTACACTTTTGCAGTTTAATGGATTCTTCCACTACAGTTTAATTATTGTAAATAATAATTGTTCTCTGTGTTTACAGTCTTCCTGGATTGAATTGCCTCCAGAGGAATTTTCCATGCAATCAAAATACACCACGATGTAATCTTCTTCTATATTTCACTAGCATTTATTTCTTTAATGCAAGATCATGTTACAGCAATAGACATTGCTTATCTCATTATGTATACATATTGTAGGAATGTCTTGATAAATCTAGTAAGCATATCTTGTGCTATTATATCAGTCTGAATTTTTTGTCACTAATCAAAGCTTCTGCTATTACATTGAATTGTACAGATACAAACTTATCAATTAAGTATTGCAATAATGCATTATTAGTACTTCAACCTTTCTTCCTCTTTCTTCTCCCTCTCTTTCTTCTCTGAAACCGACCTGCATCAAACCATTTGCTTGGTCATGAACCAACTGTGTGGTCGGTAGATGAGAGTGGCGGGTCGATGTTGGTCCCATAATTTCCTTCATCGACTTGATCGGTTTCAGTTTGGTAGGCAGTTCTAAGCACTTGGTCCGGTTAACCAAACCGTGCGTAGCCCTAATCAGCCTCCGAAACCAATGCACTGCATTGAAATGTGGAAAGTCCTTTTGAATCTACAGAGCATGCACTGCAGTGGAATGGGAAAAGTCCTTTTGAACATCCAGAGCATGCACTGCATTTGAATGCGGCAAGTCCTTACTGAATGAACAATTTTCCAACACCCCATCAATTATTTCTCTTGTTGGTTCTTATTATGAATGATTACCATATGCATTCAGCCCTGCATTCTTCAACTTAAGGTGATTGTTTTCCCAGGTTTCTGTTTATTATTTAGTAATCTTTTTGTCTTAGTGCTCGATCTTTCTTTTCCTTGTCATACTCTTGCAGATGGACAACCGAAGATGGCAGGACTTAGAAATGGACTGCTTGGTGAAAGTGTTCGAGAAAGTTGGAATGGAGTCAGTGCTTTTGGATGTCCCTTTTGTGTGCAAGCCATGGTACAAAGCAACCCTTAATCCTTCATGCTGGCAATGTCTCATATTTCCAGACAACGAACGTACTGAGATTTGGCCTTGGGATGATTTTGAATGTCCTGATTTTCAAAATCTTATGGACAGATTTGCGAGTGAGTTTCAAATTGATGGGGATCGTTTCTCTGTCACCACTTTTTTAAAGTTTGTGATCAATCGGAGCAGCAGAACTGCTGTTCCGCTTAAGCTTCCCAAATGCTGCACAGTAGAGACCTTTGTATTTGCTGCAAATGTGTAAGTTTCCTTTTAACTTGTTCTCATTTTCACTTGTTTAACCGAACTTAATTTTCGAAACTCATAAGTCTATATATTTTTTATTTAAATTACTTTAAATTAATCTAACAACAGATAAGATGATTTGAACTTGGATGCAAGGGTGGGTTGCTTACTGCTCTGTCTAACTGCCCAAGCCAAGTATATTTTAATTTTTCCTGTAAAAGTAGCATTTTATTGTGTAATGTGTGCAGGTGTCCTGGCCTTGTGACTTTGGGTTTACCCCTAAGATTATTGGAGAGTGAACACATGAACCCAGAGCTGATTGGCAAGAGGAAAAATTTGGAGGTGGTGTCATTGGGTTCAAGCTTAAATTTGGTGATAATACTTGCCCTTATAAAAACACACTGCAAGAATTTTTACGGTTTAGATTTGTCCATGACCTTAATTCTTGAACGTGAGGCATTGCCAATTGTCAAGTTGGTGACTAATATCAAGTACTTAAACTTGAAAGGTGCAATCGTTAGTCGGGATAGCCTTGTCACATTGCTGTGCGGCTGCAAAGATGTTGTGGTGTTGGACGTCAGGGATTGTATTGGTTTTGATGAGAACGATGATGAAATATTAACTATTTGATTGTTATTTTCATGAGGGCTTGTAATTGTTCCTATATTTTATTTAAATTATTTCCTTTCTTTTAGTTATTTTGTTCAGTTGTAATGTTGAAATAATTATAGATTTTAATTACTTGGAACTACAAATTCTTCTTCGTTAAATTTTCTCCACTGAAAAATAATTAATTTTGTTGTGAAGTCTAATAGAAAGTAGATACGGCTCAAACACCACAAAAATGCATAACAATTTAGGGGCATTATTCTTTTAGTCCTCTAGAAGTTTGATCTGTTTGGTGATAGGACAATTATGGCCTTGCTTGCTTTGGTAATTCTTTTTTTTTTTTTTTTTTGGGTCGAAATGCTTGCTTTGGTAATTCCTTCTCAGCAGATGGTGTCAAGGAGTCCCTTGCTTTTGAAAAAAAAGGTCCTACTTGCTTTTCCGAAAGGAAAAACTATATTATGTTGCCTCTATTATTGCTGGACTAGTTTCCTTCTCTCTTTTTTTTAATTGGCTCAAATCTGAATTCGATTAAAAGCCCAAAAAGGGGAGTAAGGAGAAGCTTAAATAAGGATGATTTCTTTACCAAAAAAATAAGGATGATTTCTTTGGTGATAGGACAATTATGGCCTTGCTTGTTTTGGTAACTCCTTCTTAGCTTAAGCTTAGCAGATGGTGCCAAAGAGTCTCTTGCTTTTGAGAGAAAAAAAGCTTTTCCAAAAGGAAATACTAGAATTGCTTCCTTGTGAAGTAGTGCCTCACTTTTTGTCGTTGGAATGCAGAAAGTGCTTGTTGAATGAACAATTATCCAACACTCCATCAATTAATTCTCTTGTTTGTTCTTATTATATAGGAAAAGGATTACCATAAGATTGTTTTCCCAGGTTTCTTTGTATTCTTTTGAAATTTATGGTTTTCTTTTTCTATTAATTTGGTGTTTAATTAATTTATTGTATACATATATAGTTATATTAAATCGTTGTTGCAGATGGACGAACGAAGATGGGAGGACTTGGAAATGGACTGCTTGGTCAAAGTGTTTGAGAAAGTTGGAATGGAGTCACTGCTTTTGGATGTCCCTTTTGCGTGCAAGTCATGGCACAAGGCGACCCTCAATCCTTCATGTTGGCGTGACTTGTGGATATTGACTTACTTTCCTTACACACCAAGGATTCCTATTTTATTTGTAATTGATTTACTTTAATTCCTGATTTCCTACTGTAAATAGATTTAGGAATTTATTATTTACTTGCCCATTCAGGTTTTGTTGTATTATAAATATGACCTCCTACAAGGAGAAGAATACATAGAAAATTCCCACAAACAAATATTCTCTTATAGTTTTCATATTTTAGCA